TCAGTTAGTGAGTATAGACATTAGCTACGGCCAGACAGGGAAGGAAGTGACTGTCTCTATCTTGCTCATTGTTTCATCTCCAACACCTAACATATATTAAGCATTAAATAAATGGAAGTCAGATGGATCTTGGCTCAAGGCAGGGAATACCAGAAAGATGTTTACTTGTATTTTATTGACTATGCAAAGGCATTTGACTGTGTGGATCATGACAAATTATGGATAACATTGAGAAGAATGGGAATTCCTGAGCACTTGATTGTACTCATGAGGAATCTGTACCTTGACCAGGAGGCTGTCGTTCGAACAAACAAGGGGATACTACATGGTTTAAAATCAAGAAAGGAGTGCGTCAGGGTTGTATTCTGTCTCCACACTTATTCAATCTATATGCTGAGCAAATAATCCGAGAAGCTGGACTATATGAAGAAAAATGTGGTATCATTATTGGAGGAAGAATCATTAACAACCTGAGATATGCAGACGATACAACTTTGCTTGCTGAAAGTGAGGATGACTTAAGGCACCTACTGATGAAGGTTGAAGAATACAGTCTGCAGTATGGATTACATCTCAACATAAAGAAAACAAAAATCCTCACAACTGGACCAATGAGCAGCATCACAATAAATGGAGAGAAGATTGAGGTTGTCAAAGAATTCACGTTGCTTGGTTCTACAATCGATGCCAACGGAAGCAGCAGTCAGGACATTAGACGACGTGTAGCATTGGGAAAGTCAACTGCGAAGGAACTGTTTCAAGTGCTGAGGAGCAAGGATATCTCATTGAGGACTAAGGTGCACCTGACACAAGCCATGATATTTCCAATCGCCTGGTATGCATGTGAGAGCTGGACAATGAATAAGGAAGACCGAAGAAGAGTTGATGCTTTTGAGTTGTGGTGCTGGCGAAGAATGCTGAAAGTACCGTGGACTGCTAAAAGAACTAACAGATCTGTCCTGGAGGAAGTGCAGCCAGAATGGTCCTTGGAAGCAAGAATGGCCAGACTTCGTCTCAGCTATTTTGGTCATGTTGTAAGAAGGGACCATTCCCTGGAGAAGGATGTCATGCTTGGTAGGGTGGAGGGTTGACGAAAGAGGGGGAGGCCTTCAAGGAGATGGATTGATACAGTGGCTGCGATGATGGGCTCAAGTATAGCAAGGATTGTGGGGCTGGCGCGGGATCAGGCAGTGTTTCGTTCTGCTGTGCATGGGGTCTCTATGAGTTGGAAATGACTCGACGGCACTTAACAACAACAACAACAAATGGAAGTCGAATAAATGATATATACTTAAATACTTGAGTCAGCCAAGTATAAATTAAAATAAAGGAGGATGGAATAAGGATGAGATAAAACAGTAAGGACTGTCAATTCTCCACATAAAGGGGTTGTAAGTAAACACAAGTGAAAATACAATAAATATCCCATAAAGCATATTATGTGGAAAGGTGTCTCACAGAAAAATAGGATTGCAAAGCATATTTAAATGTTACAGTGAAGAGTCTGGATACTATGTTTTCTAAAACTGTATTCTAAAACATCTGTATTTTCTAAAGAATTTTTCAAGTTGAAACTTAATCTTTAGTTTTTCTCCATGGAATCATGTTGAATGATGCTTTTACAAGTGAAAAATTCAGGAAGCATCTTTTCTGAGGTATAATTAAAAATATGCACTCAGTTTGTAAAGTTAAATAATGCTAAAAGCCTGAAACAAAAAGCAAAAGTTCTCAGTGTCCTTCTCTCCACACCCTTGAAGACGCAACCCTCTCGTTTCCTATTCTGAATTTCAACTCTCCTCTACCTCCTCTTTTCCTTCTCCTATCCTCCCAAGACAGCAAAATCGTGTTGTTGCTGCTGCTGTTGTTTTTAGGTGCTGTTGACTCAGATCCGACTCATAACAACCGTGTGTATAAGAGAACGACACTAAGGTTGCTGGGTCCTGTGCCATCCTCATAATAGAAGGTATGTTTGAGCCAATTCGTGAGGCCACTTTGCCAATCCATTTCACTGAGGGTTTTCCTCTTTTTTATTCTACAAAGCAAGGGCAAAGATGTCACTTTGAAGACTAAAGTGTGCCTGAGCCAAGCCATAATAATTTCAATTACCTCATAGGCATGTGGAAGCTGGGCAGTGAATAAAGAAGACTGAAGAAGAATTAATGCACGTGAACCAGGGTGAATATTGCATATATCGTGGAATGCCAGAAGAGCAAATGAAACAATCTCGGATGACGCACAGCCAGAATGCTCCTTTGAAATGAGGATGGCGAGACTTTGCCTCTCCTCCTTTGGACGTGATCAGGAGGGACAACTGGGTGTGACCAAGAGGGACCAGTCCCTAGAGAAGGACATCACGCTGAGTTGTTGCTAAATCTATAGTTGGTGTTCTGAGAAGTTCTGGTTATGATGATGTAAATGCTGCTCACTACTGAGCTAAATCATATGCATTTTATTTCTTTTCTTATCTAACTTTTGTTTTTTCTCTGAGTTAATGATTATGCCTTTTTATATTTTTCATTTGCTTGGTTGTCTTATTTTCTTCCTCCTTTACATTGTCTCGAAAACATATTTCATGGAGCTCGGGGCTGATATGCAGCTGAATCAATACCAGCTATTTACAGTAGGTCTTCTAATTGGTCACATCATGGACTCTGGTTTAAATATCATCTCTGTACAGGATTAAACCTATTAGATACTCTCAGCTCCCAATTTTTCCAGAGACATCCTCCTGGCACCCTTCATCCATCTCATCTAATTTTGGTTGGATGTACACAGGTCTTGCTGCACAGAGCTCATTCTGGGAACTCCCTTCACCTCCCTACCCTGTCTTCCCAGCACCATGGGTTTCTTTTTTCTTGGATTATTCTTTACTTTTGGCAAAGCCTGTCTTTCCTGACAAAGCATGTACAGGAAGTATGTTTAGATTACACCTGACTGAGAGCTTGGTAAGTTATAGAACTTCAGAGTAAAAATCATTTTCATTCAGAATTTTGATGGAATTGCTCTGCTGTCTTCAAGCTTCCATTGTCACTATTTAGTATTTTAATGCCATTCTGGATTTTGCTCATTTGAATGTGACATACATTTTCTCTCTGGAAGTTTTAAGAATTACCTCCTTCTCTCTGCTGTTCTGGAATTTCCTTGTAACTCTGAGTACTTTGAGGGGCCCTTTCAATCTGGAGAGGAGCTCTGGTGGCATAGGGCCTAAGGCATTTGACTGCTAACCAGAAGGCTGGTGGTTCAAACCCACCAGCCACTCCTTGGAAGGAAGGTTGGGCAATCTACTTTCTTAGTGAAACTGCCTTGCAAGGAGGGGTCGTTATGAGTCGGATCCGACTTGATGGCAATGCGTTGCGTTGCATTTGTTCAGTCTGGAGATTCATGTCCTTCAGTTCTGGGAAATATTGTCATATGAGTGATTCTTTATTTTAGAATTCTTAGTTCTTGAATGTTGGATTTCCTGTACGGTCCTTTTTAGTAAATATGGAAGTTAAAAATGTATTTTCATTAAGCCAGAAATAACAAACAAATGATCTCCTTCTAATAGGGAAGTAGTCTTTAAAGAAGCTGCAATATTTGCCATTTTAATATTCATTTATTCTAATAAAAGAAAAAGGTTATAAAAGCCAAATATAGGCAAACGATACCACATTAAAATGCTGCTAATTAACAATCATTCATAATATATTTGTCTTATATGAACAGTTAATAAATTCTAAAACACTGCTAGTATATAATTTGAAATTTTCACCTTTTTAGACATAGTAATTGTGATAACTGGACTGTTGTTGTTATATGCCGTTGAGTCAGCTTGACTCATAGAGACTCCTCCTTGGGTTTCTGAGGTGGTATCACTACAGAAGTAGATTGGCCCAACCTTTCTTTCGAGAAGTGGCTGGTGGGTTTGAACCAGCAGCCTTCTGTTAGCAGTCAAGTGCCTTAGGCACTACGCTACCAGAGCTCCTGATAAGTGGACTATATACACTCTAAAAAGTGAAATCTCTATAATTTCGCATTCTTTCACTATTACTATCATGTAAAATCACCACCTAAGTAGAATAATTATTTCCATATTATTTTAGTTTCAAGATAATCTAAATTAAAAGATATTAACTTGAAAGCTAGAATATTGTTAGTGTCAATGTTACTCAAGAGCAACAAACTCAAATTTTCAGTTGGATTGGATTTCCACTGTAAGCAAGCAAGCACTGTGCCTTTATATATGCTGTCATAGACAGCTATCTTACCCTCAAAAGTGAAGTAACTCACGAACACAGAAGTTAAGTAATTGCCTATAGTTACTTAGAAAGTCACGGTTGGCATTTTCCGGATCTGATGCCTGTTTCTTTTCCATGTACAACACACCAAAATCCATTATGCTATGGTATTTAAAATAAACCACACTAATTACTACATGCAAAAGAAATCCAAAAGCCATAATGCAAATTTTCACAGAAGGCATTCATTTGATAACTTGGCTAGCAAAACACAACAAATTAGTAATCGGCTAAGTAAAATCTCAAGTTTTAAGAACAGAATTTTTCCATGCCTTATTTTGATTAATCAGTTACCTCAAATTGATTGAAGTAGAAGTGCAGAAGTAAGCCAGAAATCCTACCAAGATATTGCCATCGAGAGAGATAGAGAGAGAACACCAAAGACAGAGAAAGAAAGATCATCTTTACTAAGGGTAATGTATTCAAACAACTTTAGGTTATACATTAGGAAACTCATGACAAAACAACATTTTCAGATATGCTTTATTTATTAGTTAGCTCTCATTTTGTGATCAATTAAAAGATAGTTGCAAAATACTGAATAGTTACAGAAAACACAATGTTAAAATGTCTTTAAAATTATCTACTTCTTTCCAGCAATACCAAAATAAATACAAAGCAAAATTCTGTAAAAAATCTTATAATAATCTGAAATGAAAAGCCACCTCCCTGTATTTGTTGACTTAATAGGACACTGGATAAAAAATATAAATGAAAAATTACCTTCACTGCTGCAGTGACAGCAGCAGTAGCTGCTAAGTTTAAACCCTGCCGTCCGAAGTTGACCATGGTCTCATAGCCTCGTTCCTTTGCCTGTACAATGTAATCATCAATCTCCTGGGTGAAAAGAAGCCCCATAGATGTTAATTTTATTTAAAAACAGTGTTAACAAGCAAAAAACCAAGCCTTTCCCTCTATAATATTAGACTTTCACTAATTATACAGCGTAAAGCATGTGGCAATGTATTTTTAACAAATGATTTGTGGAAATAATTTATGTTATCTTACCCTTTCCTTTGAAGAAAGAAGTGGATGAAGAAATTTTCTGTATATTAAACTTGCTCCTTTGGTATAGGGACAGAGTAGCCATATGACAAAAGCAATCTTAAGCTCATAGTACAGGGGGAACCTAATAATAAAAAAAAATTAGAAAAAAAACACCAGTGAATATAACTACAAACAATAAGAAAATCATACACACATAAAACTTTTAACCAGGCTCACTGGTTTGATTGAGACTGGTGGAACTCCAGAGTCTATAGCCCTTATACACCCTTTAAGCCTGGACCTGAACCAACAGTCAGAGATCAACTTTCAGCCAAACAACAGACAGGCTTATAAAGTGAATAATAACACCAAGGAGGAATGCATACCTCAGAACAATCAACCATGCAAAAGGGCAGCGAGAACTCCAAACCAAAGCTTAGAAGGCAGGAAGGGGCAGGCAAGAGGGACGAATGCAACATGGGGAACTCAGGGGGAAAGCAGGAAGAGTGATGTTACATTGAAGGGACTGTAACCAATGTCAGGAAACAAAATGTGTATAAATTGTTGGATGGGAAACAAATTTGCTCTGTAAACTTTCACCCAAACCACAATACAAAGTAAAAAAAAAAAAAAAAAAGAAACAAAAAACCTTGAAAAAAAAAGTCCAGAAACTGTGTTAAGCTTTCAGGAAATAATCATGTTTGAATTGATGAATTAATCTCACAAATATCTCAATTAAACTATAGATCACAGATCTGATCCCCTCAGAGGTTCATACTTTCTAGTATAAGATTCTTCCTTTTATGCAAGCACAAGGAAGTTGCCAAACTGACTGTAGCAGTTAAGACAGGACATTAATAGCATTTAGGCAAAGCAGTAAGGTACATCTACCCTGTTATATATGACATGACATACATGAGATCCCTCGAAGTGTCAGGACACTACTTGTATGTTCCAAGTGCACAATGTTTAACTCATACACTGATCTCCTTATCTTTCTTAGACACCCCTGAAAACTTCTCCAATCTCATTTGGCTAGAATTGCAGCACTTTGTAGCCTAAACTGTCACTTGCAAAGAAAATGGAAGTATGATTGTGGTAGATTGGGAATTCGGCTTACAAACCCATGCCCTTTTCCATATGACTTTGCAGTGCCTTCCCTGTAGGCCGAGTATACTCGTCCACCGATGGCTGTGGCTTTAGCCACATGTGAGTCTGACATGTATCACATGCAAGCAGAAGCTTTAAATGCCCTTGGTGTGGTTTGGCTCCTTCACTTCCTTCTACTTGCCTCTACCCCTACATCAATTTATTGCTTAAAGCTTTTTGTCTTCTGGCATGATAGCAGTTGCTTCTTCAGTTTTGGTTACAAAGCAAGAAGACAAAACTGAGCTGGGCCCAGCAAAGCTGCAGCCAACCATTTGTCCTCATGTTAACTTGAGCAAGAAATAAATGTTTGTTTTTCCAGCTCACTGTGCCTTTAGGGTTATTTGTTGCTACAGTAAAAGCTAATGAGCGGACCAGCATCTTTTGGTCCATGAAGCACTAAGACCTATGATAACTGAACAAATCCGGGTGCTTCTGGCAAGGCTGCTGGGTAGGGGGAAGTGAGAAACGACTGTTGTGTAGTCAACAGAGTCTCTGCCAGAAGTGCAACTACAGGAGGGTTTCTGGACTTTTATTCTTCGTGTTAACTCTTTTCTAAAATTTTTCATATTTACAATAATGTATATATGCTACATTTGCATTCAGATAAAAGCCAAGAAGTCTTTTAAAAATGAGCTTTGAAACTTAAGAGACCTAACATGGTCTTTTAAAAAAACAAGTAAACAAAGTGTGGTACATATATATAATGAACTTATACCCAGTCATAAATGAAATCCTGACACATGCTATAACATAGATGAATCTTGAAAACATTATGCTGAGTAAAGTCAGTCAGTCACAAAAGTGACAAATATTATATGATCCCACTTACATGAAATATCTAGGATAGGCAAGTGTGTAGACACCAAAGGTAATTAGTGGTTACAAAGGGCAGGCTGGAGAGAGGGAAAAAGGGGACTAATGCGAACACTGAACTTCTGTTAAGGATGATGGGAAAATTTGGAAATGCATAATGGTAATGATTCAATAACATGATAAGCATAATCAATACCACTAAATTATACATGTGAATAATTTAGATATGGAAAATAATATGAATAATTTGTTACATATATTTACCACAGTAAAAAAATAAATACAACATAAAACAAGCAAACAAATAGAAGGGAAAAATCCCTCACCAAAACCCCAACACTAAAAACGTAACAGGTAAAAGAAAGCTCTATGGAGCAGAGGAAGGAAACATTTCAAATCAGAAGAGAAGGGTGGGTGCAGATACAGAGAAGCTCATAAATAAGGGCGGGTTTTTAATAACATTCAGGTCTGATGACTTCTATTTTTTTTCTAGCAAATCCAATGTGACCCAATGTGCTAAGAATGAGAATAGCCAAGTGGGAAAGACAGCTTAAGGAGAAAACAGTAAAGGTTTGAAACAGACACAGGAGGGAATGGAAATAGTAGCTGATCAAAGCCAGTAAAGGGAATGCTGAAGTTTGAATTGACACTCATCCAAGAAGCCGATTTTGTTTCTTAGCTACAGTTAGTAGAACAGTTGAAGAAGTAAAGATGAATGATTGTTGGACTAATTTAGGCTCTTGTGTAACAAGAGCAGTTGAAGATACTGGCAAAGTAGTAAATGAAGTAGATGAATATACAGGATCAGGCAGGGAAAAAAGGCAAAACTAAGTGGAGGCAATAGACTAGGGGATAATGTATTAATCAAGGGATGAGAGGTCTCAGCGATGTGAAAGGCAGGTATACAACGGGGAAAAAGGGCAAGAGCACACCAGCCTGTGACGACTTGAAGATTCTGAAAGAGTGACTTCCCCAGGTGATAGCTAGGATTAGACTGCCACTGAGATACAGCATCCAAGGATCTGGTGTTGTGGGGGCTGTGCACTTGGATGTTGATGATGTCAGGTTTGAATGTTTAGAGATGAGAGTTTTAAAGACGGGCAGGCGGTGGAAAAATCAGATGCTGGGGGTTTCAAATGAGGAGTCATTTAGGGAAAGACAAAGAAAAATAGTCTGAATTCATCAGGATGGAAAAAGAAAAGTGACAAACAAGTTTCTCTGTCCTAAAATACTGGGGGGAGGTGTGTGGGAGGCAGGCAGAAAGAACGGCACATGGGAAGAAGAATGAGGGAGGCTAGAAGAAAAGTAATGTTCTTATAGGGAAACCAGACAAAGAAATGGAGACATTAGATAACTAGGTAACTTGGTCAAGTTCACTTAGTTAACAGAGAGTAGGATAAGAACTCAGGACACCTGATAACTAGTCTGTAGAATGGTTCTTTCATGGTACTAGAACTTACCAAGCAACTGTCTGATCTGCCAATGTTTCAATCACAGTATAGAGAGCAAAAACAATCCAGTACATCATCCATCGAACCTGGAAATAATAAAAACACTCATAAAATGAACTAGAATTATTTGCAAGTCTGAATAATTATATTTACATACATATATTCATAAACCAAAAACTAAACCCACTGCCAATGAATCAATTACAACTCATAGCAACTCACAGAGTAGAACTGCCCCATGGGGTTCCCAAGGCTGAAAATCTTTACTGAAGCAGACTGCCTTACCTTTCTCCTCTGGAGTGTCTGGTGGGTTTGAACTGCCATCCTTTTAGTTAGCAGTCAAATCTTTGACCACTGTGCCACTACAGCTCCTCATATACATACATATAGATTGTGTGTGTGTATATATATATGTATATATATATGGGAGTTCTGGTGGCATAGTGCCTAAGGCATTTGTCTGCTAACCAGAAGGCTGGAGGTTCAAATGCACCAGCCACTCCTTGGAAGGAAGATTGGGCAATCTACTTTCGTAGTGATAAAAAATCAAACCAAACACACTGCCATTGAGTTGGATCCGACTCCTAGTGACTCCTCCTTGGTTTTTTGAGGCAGTATCACTACAGAAGTAGTGTCTTAGGCACTATGCCACCAAAGCTCTGTAGTGATACTGCCTGGGAAATCCAAGGAAGGGTAACTATGAGTCAGATCCAACTCGATGACAGTGAGTTTTTTGGTTTATATATACTATATATTTGCATATACTAGATTTGTTTATATATATAGTACATATAGATATTTTACATAGAGATATAGTATATAGATATTATAGAAATATAGTATTTTAGGTCAAATGCAGTAGGTAATGGTTTAATTTTCAACAGTTTATGTTTGAGTTCCTCACATTATGACATCAACAGCCTTGGAATATAAGAATCAAAGAACAATAAATTTCTGGGCTGTGATACAACATGATGTAGGGATCTGAATGAGAGGATCGGAAAAACAAAAAATCTTTTATAAAAACATCTTTCTTCAAATAAAAAATTATTTAAAAGATCTTATCTACATAACTATGAAAATTATTAGCTATTTAATTATTACATAAATAACAGTATATGATATGGTTACATTTAATCTTTATTAATCTTTTACGTTTTGCAAATATCAGGATATAGATGCTATTTAGAAATTCTTTAAAGAACATCCTGGACTTGTCACTTATATTAATGATCATCCACGATGCTGGGCATCCAGTTTGGAAATCAGTTGTCTAGCCTTAGTGTCTTCTTCTTCATCCCCATATCTAAGCCTGAAAACTCTCATACATCTTTTTTTCCCATTCCCAAGACCACAATGGTAGCTCAGGACATTTTTATCTCTTGTCTGGACTAGAGTATCCTAACATCCCTGAGACTGCTGTTTCTTTGTGCCAAGCCTTTTCATCGAAGACTGCCAGATTATATTTTCCCCATCTGGTTCCCTAAAATTTATACCTTTACATCTATATCAGAACATAAACTATTATCTCTCAAATGGGATGCAGTTTCATTAAGGATCCAAACTGCTACTCTTAGGCCTAATAATATAATACTAGCTAATAAACAAATGCCAAATACGTGCTACTGTTGTTAGCTCAAATATGTGCTATGTGCACCAGATATATTATTCACTTAATCCTCACAACAACATGAGATAGGTATTATAATTATTTCTATTATAGATGAAAAAAAGATGGCACAGAGAGGTACAATGACTTGTCCAAGTTTATTTAGGTAGGATTTGAAACTTGGCAGCCTGAGATTGTGCTGTTAACCAATTATACCATGTAGAGAGAGGAAAAAGGGAGAAATCGTTGAATGTTGGGTGTAAGAATAACCTCCGCTCCCCTTATTCTCATCTCAGTCAATGACTAAAGAATTTAGGCCCTCATAAATAGTTAGAATAGAGTTCTAGTGGTAGGTCGGTTAAAGCATTTGGCTGCTAACCAAAAGGTCAGCAGTTCAAACACACCAGCCACTCCATGGGACAATGATGAAGCAGTCTGCTTCTGGAAAGATTTACAGCCTTGGAAACTCTATGGGGCAGTTCTACTCTGTCCTATAGTGTCATTATGAGTCAGAATCAACTCCAGGGCAGTGGTTTGTTTTTTCTGGTAAATAGTTACAAAACTGACCTATTTAGTTGCAATAGAGTTTGTTTTTTTGGTATTCCATAGACAGTATACAACTATAGTAACTCATGCAATTTTTATAGTTTTCTATTTACAGGGACAACTCTACTAGAAATTAGTCACAAATAATGTATTTGAAACAACTGCATATTGTGAAACATGAATCATATTAATTTAACTTATATAGAATCTTTCTCCTCAAAGCCCCCCCCAAAAAAAGAAAAGAAAAATTGCCCAAGCCAGTAATAAAACATATTATCTGTATATGAAATACAAGGAAATTGATTTATAAGAATATCACCTCAACTTAACCAAGTATTAAATATTCTCACACATTTCTTACTTTTCCTTGAATTCTCTTAACTCCCTCACTGCTTCCAATTCCAACCTTTAGACCAAGAATGAGGATTTTCTGCAGGGCTAAAATCTAATGTGTGTGTGCTTTTTCCCTTTCCCAAATTCCATTCTTCTTTAGAAAGAGTTGATATTCTTATAAGAGTTCATTTATATAAAATTTCAAAATCCAAACTCTAATTTAGAACTTTTACTTTTCATTTCTACTCACAAGGTTAACTCTGGCTCTAATTGACTATAAGCCTCCCCTAAAAAGAAGCAAAAAAGAAATGAAGAAAAAAAAAATGACTGCAACAGAACACTTTCACAGCACTAGAAAGTACCATGGAGGTGATCAAACTTTGTAAAACTACACAATCTTTTATTGAAACCAAAAATATTAAAAAAAAAAAAAAAAAAAAAAAAGAAACAAAAAACCTTG